AGACCCTTCTTCAGAAATCATTTCTGAAGAAGGGTCTAGGCCCGAAGCGTCGGCCTTCCTGCTCCTCTGATGCTGCTTGGCCTGCTGTTTTCATCCAGCTCTACACCTTGTTATCTCAGTTTATAAGTCATGCCCTGATGTGCCTTCCAAAATGCAGCCCCTCACAATTATCTAAATTAAAATCCATCTGCCACTCCTCGGCCCATTGGCCCATCTGATCAAGGTCCCGTTGTACTCTGACGTAACCTCCTTCGCTGTCCATTACACCTCCAATTTTGGCGTCATTTGCGAACTTACTAACCATTCATCCTATGTTCACATCCAAATCATTTATATGAATGACAAAAAGCCGCGGACCTAGCACCGATCCTTGTGGCGCAGCGCTGGTCACAGGCCTCCCGTCTGAAAAGCATTCCTCCAGCACTACCCTCTGCCTTCTAACTTCAAGCCAGTTCTGTATCCAAATTGCTAGTTCTCCTCCTATTCTGTGTGAATTAACCTTGCTTACTAGTCTACCATGAGGTCGTAATCCATAACCTTACAAAACCACAGAAGCTCCTTGAAGATTAACAATCATAGAAATCTACAGTGTAGAAAAACTCCCTTTGGCCCGTCACGTCTATTCTGGTCAAAAACAGCCACCTAACTATTCTAATTCCATTTTCCAGTTGTTGGCCCATAGCCTTATCTGCCATGTTATCACATCTAAATACTTCTTCAATATAATGAGGTTTTCTGTCTCGATCACCCTTACAGGCAGTGAGTTCCTGATTCCCATCACCCACTGGGTTATAAAGATTTTCCTCGCATATCCTCTAAACTTTCTTCTCCTTTCCTTAAAATCTATGCCCCCTGGTTTTTGAACCCTCCATCAAGTTTCGTCCGGTCTACCCTATATGTGTCGTTGTAATTTTATACAACTTAATCTTGTCTCCCCTGAATCTCCTCTGCCCCAGTCTGTCCAATTTCTCTCATAACTGAAAGTCTCCAGCCCCAGCCAACATCGATCCAATGCTATCACATCCCTCCTGTAATGTAGATTCCAGAACTGCACACTCTCGCTGTGTGGCCTAACCAATGTTTTATCCAGTTCCAGCTTAATCTAGAATCCGTATAGTGTGGAAGCAGGCCATTCAGCCCATTGAGTCCACACCGACCCTCCGAAGAGGGTTTAACCCAGATCCATCCCAACCCTCTAACCCTGCATTTCCCATTTCTAACCCACCTAGCCTGCATGTACCAGGACACTATGGGACGATTTAGCACGGCCAATACACCTACCTTGCACATCTTTGGACTGTAGGAAGAAATCGGAGCACCCGTACAAAACCTATGAGGACACTGGGGAGAACATGCAAACTCTACACAGACAGTCGCTTGAGGCTGGAATCAAACCCAGGTCCCTGGCACTGTGAGGCAGTAGTGCTAACCACTGAGCCACCATGCTGCCCTGCTCTTAAACTCTTATGACTCAGCCAACAAAAGCAAGAATCTCATGAGCCATCTTAAGCATTTTATCCGCCTGTCCTGTTACCCGAAGGGACTGGCCTACAGGCACACCAGCCTCTGTTTGAACTTCGGCGCTTCCCAGAATCTTTACCATTCATCATGTATTCCCTGGCCTTGTTTATCCTGCCCCAGTGCATCCCCTCGTGTTTATCCAGATTGAATTCCACTTGCCACTGATCAGAACATCTGGATCCTCTTGTAAACTAAAGCTATCCTCCTCAAAATTTACCGCTCCACCAAATTTCTGTATGCCTGAAAACTTACTGATTAGGGTCATACTCAATAACACTGAGGCAAAAAAAACCTTCCCAAATTGGAGTGATCTAATCTCAACCAGTGCAAGCAATGAAGTCACAAGAAATGTTGCTGGCACCAAGAAAAGCCAGATAGAGTGTTGGCCTCCTGATCAGAATCATTATATCCCAGCACAAATATGATTGTGGCAATTATGTTGCGTGAAGTGGACTTTATATATGTCTGTGCTCTGGCACAATATTGAGACTGCCCTTGAACCGAGCCTAAAAGTCTCACATTAAAAACCGGCGTGAGCTAGCATTTTGGTCACATCTTGAATG